GAATATTTTCTCTCTCCCCAACACTCTTGAGGTAAAAGGATTGAGAACTAAATCTTTTCACTTAGAGAACCACATATGCATGGAGGGTGTTAATAATAGAGGATGTCAGTGAATTGTTGTTTGGGGCTTGCTGTCATCATACTCTGCTACCACCAGGCATTAAGGAAATGATCATAAACCTAAGAGGATGAAGCAATTTCCACCTCCATCCACTCCCTATCAGCCTCCTGAAGCTCCCCCATCCCCAGTTAAATACACTTCCTGGAATTAGAACATCTGGTAATCATTTCTTTTTATTATGAAAATATTCAAACATATGGAAAAGCAGAGCCATGAGTATAATGAGAACCCACATATCTGTCACTTAGAGTCAACAGTTCTTATCATTTTGCCATATTTGTTTTATCTTTTCTTTCATCAAAATATTTTAAGTGAATTATAGATGTCATGACATCTCACACCAAAATATTGCACATACATCATCATGGGAGATCCTTTAAGTGTTAGAGCTTGTGTGTGTCCTCCACGTTGCTGGAGAAAGATGTCAGAGTGTTGAGTATATGAGCTCAGTCATTTCCCAACTGACCGACTCCAGTTGTCACAAATAGAAGTTAATCAGGTATCACTCTAAGGAAGGTTTGGCTGTACTCAAAATGTTCCTGATTGATCTGGAAAGACAAAGGTAAACAGCACATTAACTAAATCCTCAGAAGACACTAAGTTGGGAAGTGTTATAAGCACGAATGATGCCGGAGAGAAAATGCAAAGTACTTGGAGGAGTTAGAAATTTATCTGAATACTGTGTGTTCTTATTTTTTAAATAAAAATTGTTTAAAGCATTAGCAGTTACAGAAAGATTGGGCACAGTATTATTTTGGACAGGTGAAACATCGTATCTGCAGATTCATTTAATCAGATTAAAACACATTCTCATCATTGCCTCCATAAGTGAAGAATATGGAGCTAGACTTGGGGAGGGGTAAGCAGCTGAGATGTACAGACAGATCCTCCCCCTCCACTGGGACACAGCTGAACTGGAAGTGTGTCAACCCCCAAGAGAATGTCTGGGAAGCCTGGTTGAGAGACGTTGGCTCCCTTATGCAGGATGAGATTTTATTTTCAGGAGGCAAAGTGTAAGGGAAGTGGGTATTATTACACTTGCTCTGTGCTTAGCTACTGGGGTCAGGGCAGGCAAACTGCAGATGTTCTGAACAAGATATAGGCAAGATGTTGGTTAGTTTGCTTGCAAAAGTCTGCTGGCTCAGTGATTCTTCCAAACAAAAGGGAAGCAGGTAAAATGAGACAGCAGGTTCCAGAATATTCATCCTGTCTCGGTCAACAAATGAAATGAGTTTCCTATTCAAGAACCACCTAGTTGATGGCAACAACTAGAAATCAAGACCTGATACTCAACCATGGCCTGATTCTCATCTGTGGCTGGCAAACTTAACCTAGCACCCATCTAGCTTCCCACACATTAAGTAGGAAAAGCTTTCTTAACCATCCCCTCAGTGCCTATCTGCATACCTTTGACTCATTAAACACTCCACCCCACCCTCCCTTCCCCTATACTGTAGGGAGCAGCTATAGGGCTAAGCTCATGTGCCCTGCCAGCACAGCCAAGGGTTCAGTGAGCCTGAGGGGGGTAGGGAGGGGTGAAAGATGTAGAAAAAACAGACAAGGAGAGTATAACCAAGGAAGGGGACCTCCTGTGCCTGGCTGAGGCCACAGAGAAGGATCCAGCCAGCAAGCTGAGCCTTTATTTTATAGTCAGAGAAAAACAAGGTGGTGGTCACCATAGTTACAATGTTCTTGTGAGTTTCACTTTTTTGGCAGCACTTGCTGCATCTCCCACAGCCCATTAGCTACCCAGATAAGATCTAGGGAGCTTCATAAGGTCAAGCCTAATTATGCTAAGAGGACTGTGCCCTCTAAGCTGGGACTTGTTTGTGGCTTTACCAACCCTCCAGTCCCAGGCTTAACCCTTTAGCCACTCCCTACACATACCATGGTGTTCATAGACCAAGCATCACCTTCTCTTTGCCTAACGTTGCTGCCATGAGCAATGAACATCCATGTTAGTCAAATGAAAATTATTTTCACCATCTTGAGTGTAGGAACTTGTTTTCTTTCCAGAGCACCCGATTCTTTGAAAGAACACAGTCTCTTCTGATCTCCTTCCTCTAGCCTAACCACTGGCCCTGATGCCCAGGATCTGCAGATGGGTGTGACAACACATGAGCTCATTGGAGCTTATGTAAGAGCTATTGGCAGGCCTTCCCGGGAGATGGATGGTGGCTGGGTCTCTGCACCCTCCCATTGCCTTGTGTAGGCAACATGATTTTTCTTTTCTCTATCTCCTCAAAACAGAGAGGCTTACTTGTACTGCTGTGCCTTAGCTGTGTGTAGCAGTAGTCGAGGAAGCACGATGTTCCCTCCTACATTCCAGTCATTAAAACTGGCACGGCTTCCTGATGGGAGGAAATAAGTATTCAAAAGACCAAGTTAACTTGCATGTGTTGAGCCCCTTTCGTGGTGGCACTGCTCCTTTTCTCAGCTCTTTGGATCACCACAGAGGAGCAATAAGAGGAATAAAATAGGATCTGAGGACAGAAGCCTCCTTGACATCTCAGAGGGCTCCAATTTCAATGTCCCTTCTGAGATGTTGGTGAACAGGATCTAGGGCAGAGAGAAAGATGAAATAAATGGGAGTTCCCATCTCCCAACAAAGGAAAAATAAAAAACATTTGTGGAAATCTGTTGGATATTCTCAAAGGCAGGTCATCTGCAGGAAATTGATCCTGCGTCCAATTGACGTGGAGAGAACTCCTTTTCTTTCCCAGACTCCATTTTCTGGAGGCCAAGAAGAAACTTTTGGGAACTGTACTCAGGAAACAAAGAGAAGTGAAGCGACCCAACCTCCAAACTCAGTGGGTGTTTTACATGGCTTCCCAGAGGCGAAGGGAAGGTGTAGGTTAGGACTCGGTTTTTCTCCCGCTGTTAAGGAAATGGGAGGACCCATGATGATGTAATGCTCTGCTCTGCTGCCTCAGTTGCTCTGGGCCCAGGTGCTGGAGGCAATGCCAGAGAAGACTGGGGTCTCAGTCGGTGCTTGTTCTCAGTCTCCTTACTAAGTTCATAGACCATGACCCAAGGCACTTCCTGCCCACACAGTATCAGGTCGGGGAAAGTGTACTCCTCAACCTCCGCTCAGCACATCCCTGCTTCTCACATGGGACCAACTCCACTTTCTGGCCTGACAAGGACCTGGGCAAGTCCTATGTTATCTGTTTTCCTACATGTACAATGGGGCTGGAGAGGAGGACTAATACAATTATTCACTTGTTCATTAATACATATTTTGTTATTTAACAATGTCTATTTGCCAGGCACTGCCCCCTAACTTAACATGGCTCAATGCAGTCCTCTTACCACTCATCTTTTCCCATCACATTCTGCTTTTCACAACCTCCACTCACCCCTAGTTCCTGCTTCTTTCACTTTTTCTTCTTTTATTCTCATGATATTTTTCTTCTCCCTCCCCGCCCCCATGATTCTATTTTTAAAATGTCCATACATAAAATCAGAATACCTGCCCACTTTGTTAACTCCAGGCAAGTCTGTGTTTAAAAGGCCCAAGAAAGATCAGAGGACAATGTCCAGAGCCCAATTTCAGGGTGTATTCAAGTGTCTCACAACTTCTCCCTTCAACAAATTGTCCTTAATGTCTAACTCAAACCCCTCTGTTATTACTACTATTCTTTTTCTCATTACCTTTTGAGCCACATCTCAGGCATAAAGTACCTGTGTGGGTATAGAACTGATAGGAAGTTTAACCCAAAGTGACATAGTTGAACACCCAGATCATAAGGATATTTGTTTCCATGTAACAACAGAATCAGAAACCAAGAAGGGACTAGAGGCCATGGAAGTTAAGAGGGATTAGCTTCTGTAAAATCAACAAAAACAGAACAAATAAGCAAAAACCCATAAGTATAACCCAACTGGAGTCACAATTTCTGATAGACTATTTCAATAAACATGAAAAGTCCATTGAGCCGGGATCATAGACCCCTGCTATTGGAAAGGCCCTTCTTCAGACGTCATTGAATCCAACCTTGCATACAGAGTTGGTAGCTAGCATAGTATAATGTCTGTGCTCTGATGATGATAGTTGAATAAAGAATGGTAGCCATTCAGCATTGGTTCCTATGTCACCACATACATAATTTCTCTCCAAAGCCATTCTCCCAGGCACCTGGGTAGGGGCAAGCCATGTCTACACTTGGACAGTGCCTAATGCTCCAGATATTGCCCTTTTTGATCTGTGGAAACCTACCAAGGTAGCTTATGATCTTTTTTTTTTTTTAATCTCTCACCCTACACACACACACACTCCCTTCCCTGGCTTACAGTCTTGATAGAGGCAGTGTGTCTAGTGACTAGGTCACCTGAAAAGGAGGTGATTTCAAAAAATGCAACATTTTATTTATTATTTATTTCTTCTCTAGATAGCAAGAGGCAGGAGAGTGAACTGAAAAGAAGAGGATCCTACAGCAAGTTGCTGACCCAGCTTACAGCACAGCTGCCCTCTTTCATGAAATGGGAAGAATCTTTTGTGCCTCTCTGTACCATTGTCCTCAATGCTCGGTAGCTATCACAGAGAAGTTGTTATTGTTAGCAAGTAATCATAATTCCAAGAAGCCACCAGCTAAGGGGGTTCTGATGGATGCTTTTCTCTTTCTTCAGAAAACAAGTAAGACCCCTCTATCTTGGAAAAGCCTGACAAATGTTCCCTAGAGGCTACTGAGGAAGGGAGCATTCCACATCCCATGATGGTATGAGGGATGAAGATCCCTGCCTGGGAAACAAGAGCAACACAGGGAGTGGGCGACAGTCCTGTCTCAGCCACATGGCCTTGGGCATGTCCTTTAGCCTCCTGGGTCCTCTCTTTCTCCATCTACCAATCAAGGAGGCTCTAAAGACCTTCCCACTCCAATGACCTTGCCTTCACCTGGGGCATCAGAGAGAGGGCAGGGTTCTCGTTCCCCTGGGTCTTCCCCCAGCCCTGTTGACCTAGGAAGGCTACTGCCAACCCTCAGCCAAGATCTACCTTCCCTCTTGAGGATTGGTCATGCTCAGAAATCAACTAATTTGGGGGACCAACATGAAACAAAACACACTACAAGGAAACTCTTTGATAAGCCCTCCACCTAGGTACACACACACACACACACACACACACACACACACACACATCTACAGACACACTCAATCCCTAAAGTGTAAGTATTTTCCCTTCCATGTATCAAGCCTATTTTACCCTTTCTAACTGCCAGTGTGTTAGGAGAGAATTCAATCCCACTAATGGAAAACACTGCTTCCTTTTAGGGAGCTTAGCTAAACCTCAGTGTTTGGGGGTGACCCTGGGCAGGTCCCAAAACACATTAACGGCAGCCCAGAAATGTAGGCTCTACCAACCGAGACTGAGGCAGTAAATAGTTAGCACAGTGCCAGGGTCCAGATCCTTCCCTCCTTGCTTGTCCACCTCCACTGCCTCCCCCACCCACAGATATGTTGTTCTGTGGTGGTGGTGGCCTGTTCCAGCCTGCCCGTCTGCCTGCACAGAGTGCCGTGGACTTATTCTGTAATGTACTGTGTATATGTATGTCCTGACTGTGGTTTACTACAAATAAAAATGACAGCAGATTGCTGACCTCTGACTTCTTAGTGGTTTCATGCTATCGCTTGAGAAATCCAGATTGTCTGATCAGTCACAGGCACTGGAGACACACATGCTCCTCTAGACTACCCTGTTACCTTTCCACACTTGCCCACTGCCAGGGAGGTTCCACTGATATGCCAGGACTGGTAAGAATTGAAGGTCTCTGTTGCCACTTTCCAGGTGTTAAAGGAGGGTGAGGGGAAGCCAAAAATCCTATAAAATAAACCCTTGCTAAACATTATGTATCTATCATCTCACTGACATCTGAAAACTCTCCTATGAAGTGGTTAGCATTTTATAGGTGAGAAAACAAAGTCTCAGACATGGTAATTAACTTGCTCAACAAGTAACACAGTAAGTAACTCAGTTCTGTCTCTCTCATACCCCAATATGCTCTCTTCTCTAAATTAGTGTTTCTCCAAGTGTGGCCCATGGACGGCTTACATCAGAAACCTCTGAGGTCCAGGTCCAGATGCCTGGGCCCCACTCAGAAGTCCTGAGAGTGGGACCCTGAATTCTGACTGTTTATGATCAGGGCTATAGATAAATCTGTGTGCTCATGAAAGTCTGGGAGCCACTGCACCACACCATGCTAGAGGGCAGGAACTCTGGAGGACAGAGTCTAGCCAGGGCTTTAGAACAACTCAGAATTTGGAGCCTGTAGATGAGCACTCTGAGACAGAAGAGACCTGGAGAGGAAGCAGGTTTGGAATGAAAGGGCAAATGGAAAGTGAAGGCGTGAACTTCACATCAGATTTGTCTGGCTCCTCTCCCCAGAATTTAGACCCCCCAGGAACAAGTCCATCATCTGGCCCCAGGCAGATGCTGTCCTGAGCCAAAGATTCAAGGTCACACCTGGATGGGGCTAGGCAAGGAGGTGGAGGAGATGTGGGTTCAACATCGCTGCAGCAAGAACTGGGGCCTGCAATGGGGTAGCAGCCCCAGAGGATGAGGCCACAGATGCTTTGCAACTGCTTGCAGGCTCCTGTTGTCTTTTCAGCCCCTGCCTTTCTGCCGGGCTTGGCCTCACTGGCCAGTCCCTGAGATTTGAAGAGCCATTGCTGCTGTCTCTACAGCTCTTTCTGCCTCAATTGACCCACTAGATTCCAAAAGCCCCAGAACTCACACCCTGAACCCTTAGTCTTCACATCCCCACTGTCATCCTCAGGCTGGGCAAGGACTCCAGCCTCAGGGAACCTAACCAAAAACGTTACTCACTCCTACCCAATCCCTCCTGCTTCCACCTGGACCTGCCAAGTTCTATTTTGTGCCTCTGTCTAGGTGGAGGTTTCTGAAATAATGGATGTTGGGATGTTGAGGTGGGGCACTGTGAGACAGATGCATAATTGCTACTCGAGCAGAACAAAATACTGGAAATAGCTCAACTGCCCACTCCACTGGGGAGATTCAACTATCCTATGACCTCCCAGCTGCAACACTAACTATGCGTGAACAATATTTTCCTGAAGAAAATGGCTTTTCTGGAGTCAAGAAATAAATAAAACATCTACACCAAATTTCATACAACCAAGTCAAGCAAAACACTTAAATTATGAATCCAGAAAGTAGTTTATGATATAAAATTCTTATAGGGAGAATTTTCTTGAAATCTGTAGCTAACAAAAGAATTGCATAAATAAGGAAGATGCTGGTCCATTCGAGAACAAAGGCCTTTAGCAGTTGTGCTTGCATGTTAAACAGTAGCAAAGAATAAGCCATTTGCTGTAGCATTTACACGATTTTCTCACACACCAGACCAGGTTCCTGCTTCTTCCCCAACTTAACAGGTTACTGTGTGTCCCTAAGAGTAATAAAACTGTCTTTGTTCCTAAATGTTCTCTCCTCCTACTTTTCATTAAACCAGACTATCAATCATTACAGAAATATTTCCAAATCTAAAACCCTAATGCTGCTCACAGAGGAAATAGAAAGTCAAAGGCAGCAAAAAATGGTGAGGGAAGTAGATCAGAAAGACCAGAGAGACCAGGAGATCATCATGGTCTCTGAGTTGGAGGGATCACAGAGAACAATTGGCCTAACCTCTCAGTCAAAGCAAGTCTCCCCTGCACAGCATCTGCCCTGTGCCCAGTCACCTTGCTTGAAGACTGCTGATGGGCAGCCCACTACCTTCCCAGGACCCCAAATGGGATCAGTTCTCTGAGCCTTAGATAGGTTCCTGTTGCACCAAAATCTGCCTGCCATTAACTCCCATTATTGAGCCCTGGCTTGGCCACCAGCAACACAAAATCTCACCTCTCTTCTGCAGGACAGCTTTTAGATATTTGGAAACAGCTACCCCATCCTAAGTCTTTATTTTTTTATTTTTCCGCCAGACTAAACATCCTCTAAATCATTAAATCATCCCTTATATGTCATGATTCTTGGACCCTAACTTACTCTTGCAACTTTCTCTGGAAAAAACATGTTTGCTAAAGTCCCTCTCAAGATGCAATTCCCAGAACCGAACACAGCACAGTGCCCCAGAAACAGGTGGACAAGGCAGAGCTGCATCCTTTCCTCTGGATGTCACATTGGCTTTCTTTGGCAACTGTGTCACCCTGCTCATTCATCCTGTGAACACAGCCAACATCTCCCAGCACCTAGTGAATGCCAATAACTACCATGGCTATGGTGCTTCACAGATCACAAAGTCCTTTCAAAAATGTGGTCTCATTTACTCATCACAACAATCCAGGGAGGTTAATAAAGATGAAGAAACTAAGGTTTTTCCAAGGACATATGCTGAGGCCTCAAGCCCTAAGCCTATGAGTCCAAATCCATGTTCCTCCAAACACACACATATCGTCTTCTCACTTGAATCTCTATTGAGGCCAAGAAAGTCTCCCTGGCTCCATTTGTTAGTAGCTATTCAAACTCTCTTTTTTTAGTTCCATTTTATCTTGTTAATTTCTACCCATCCTTTAGTCTGTCTAGATCTTTTTGACTCCCATTTCTACCACCCCTTATGCTAAAGAGAAGACACTGGGTCAGAGAGATAGACAGAAGAGGATGAACTACCAAACTGGGGGTGGGAGGGGATTGCTTTGGGAGGGAGGAGCTGGGAAGAAAGCATCTCAGAGAAAAATGGGCAATGTGGTGCGGCAGACGCATGTTGAAGAGGGGGATCAGGAGACCAGGTTCCAGGCCCCATCCACCTTGGCTGGTCTGTTACTCTAGGCAAGACCATTAGCCTCTCAGAGCCTCACTTTCTGAGGACAGGGCATCCGGGTGGGACCATTCAATTCCCAAGACCTTTCCCAGTTTTATGAATCTAGTTAGAAGAAACCTTATAATTAATCCAATGGTTTTTCTTCTCTTTCAATCTAATGAAGATATTGTACATCAGACTTCACTCAAAACATTTCACATGGCTTTTTTTTTCTGCAAAAAGAAAGAAAAACAAAGATGGCTGAGGGGCTATGACAATAAGCAACATTGATTTCATCTGATTGCCAGCCCTGAGTTGTTTTTTGGTTTGTTTTTGTTTGGGTTTTTTTAGGGGGGAGAGTCAGGGGGACAATTACAATTATCTCTCAAGGAGCAGGACACAAAAACTAAAGAATCTTCAAGAGAGCTGAACAAGAGGCTCTGCAGCTGTCACCTGACACCCTCTCCATATTATCATAGGACCAAGGTTTCCACAGTGAATCCCCCTACAGTGCCCACGTAAATGATGCAGAAAGGGAGAGATGGTACCTGTGAAACAGCTCTGTGTGCCTTCCTGGGGAGGTCACATGATAAATATTCTCAGATCAAATTGCACGGAGATAGGAAATATCATCCCATGTTTTCATTCTTCTAGAGTGGAGCTGCTCAATAGAAATATAATGTGTGCCACATTGGAAAGTTTAAATTTTCCTATCAACCACTTGCTAATAGGCCTGCCCTCTCTTAGTCCTACCGTTTTTTAAAAAGTGTAAAAGAGGAACTGGTGAAAGTAATCAAATGTTTTATTTAACTCAACGCATCTAAATACTATCACTTCAAATGTAATCAATATAAAATTATGAATGAGATACTTAAAAATTTTTAGACGAAGTCTTCAAAATCCACATGAACATTTGCCAAGGAAGCAAGGAAGGAAAGAGCTTGGCTTTGAACTTCTGAGTGTCTATCTGATGATAAAATGCATCATCATTTCACTACACCATTCTGCCTATTAAACTTCAGGAAGCATTATGAAAAGAGCATGGTCTTTAATGCCAAACAGACGGGTTCAAATTTCAGCTAGGTGACCAGGGATGGGGAGTTCACTACAGAGGTGAGCAGAGTGATCTTGGGCTCAATACCTTACCTCTCTTACCCCCATTTCCTCATCTGCTAAATGGGGATGATAATACTTACCTCTCAGGGGACTATGATGATAACATGTGTCATGCAAACATTACACTTTCTATAAATGTTGGCTTCCTTTCCTTGTCTAATACAGTGGGGAGAACAACCATGCTTATCTAGCCAAGGTTTAATCATGCAGCAGCTCTGACCCTATCTAGAGAGGGGAAAGTAATGAAAAGCAAACCAAAATTGAGAAAGGGAGCCAGCTCCTACCATCAGCCTCTTTGTATGTTCTTTAAAAAGCTCCACAGCCCTGACCGGTTTAGCTCAGTGGATAGAGCGTCGGCCTGCGGACTCAAGGGTCCCAGGTTTGATTCTGGTCAAGGGCATGTACCTTGGTTGTGGGCACGTCCCCAGTGGGGAGTGTGCAGGATGCAGCTGATCGATGTTTCTCTCTCATGGATGTTTCTAATTCTCTATCCCTCTCCCTTCCTCTCTCTAAAAAATCAATAAAATTTAAAAAACAAAAACTCCACAAAATGCAGATCTAGCCAGGGCAGCCCATGAATGTTAGGGAGCTACTGATCCCCTTGCTTTGCTGGCAGGTAGATGCGTGCACACTGCACTTTCTTCTGACCTTTGCCTCAGGGATTCTAGCATTTATACTTCCTTTGCCCCAAGCCCAGTAGAATCCACCTTGGCTCTTCTGAACGCTTGGGAGTC